CCATAATATCAGCTGTCCTCAATGCTGTGTCCATTCTTATCCTAGGAAAGGTAAGAACCCACTCCTATTATATCAGCTGTCCCCAATGCTGTCTTCATTCTCATCCTTGGGAAGGTAAGAAACCACTCCTCCATTATATCAGCTGTCCTCAATGCTGTCTTCATTCTCATCCTAGGAAAGGTAAGAAACAACTCCTCCATTATATCAGCAGTCCTCAATGCTGTCTGCATCCTCATCCTAGGAAAGGTAAGAAACCACTCCTCCATTATATCAGCTGTCCTCAATGCTGTTGGACATTCTCATCCTAGGAAGGACAAGAAACCACTCCTCCATTATATCAGCTGTCCTCAATGCTGTCTGCATCCTCATCCTAGGAAATGTAAGAAACCACTCCTCCATTATATTAGCTGTCCTAAATGTTGTCGCCATTCTCATCCTAGGAAAGGTAAGAAATCCCTCCTCTGTTATTTTAGCTTTCCTTAAGCTGCAAATCAGCTTAATCATTTGCAAGGACAAAAGCTCCCTTTATAAACCATATGAGGTTTTTACTTTTATACCGAATTTTTGGTAAAATTTGTCCACTATTATCAGTTTTCTTATCTTTGCTATAAGAAGTAAGGAATCTTTAAGTATTGAGCCAAATGTTATTTTACGGAAATGTTAACTAATAAACCTGTCATAACTTTTTTTTGTCAGATATATGAAATACTGGCATTCAAGCTCACTGAATGGGGTAAGTACGAGTGCTAGTTAAAAATTTTTGGGAGAAATCTGACAAAACAACAATCCATATAATGCATAATTAATGAATGAATTGTAAAACTGGTTGCAGTTTTCAAAGCTTAGTTCTCTTTTGTTTGTTCCAGAAAACCACAGAACACAGACCAGATATGATGATGCCTTAGTCACCAAAATGTTTGCTTTCCAATTTGTCAACAGTTATGCCTCTTGTTTCTACATTGCATTCTTCAGAGGAGTAAGTCTCGTCCTTTATATTCCATTGTTATGACATTCATTTAACTTTGATTTTTTTTTTCAAACAGCTACATCTTCATGGATGTTTCATAAATGGCTAATAACATAAAACCTCGATGGACAAGTGTTTTGTAAAACAAATCCAAAAAAAAAATAGAACTGGCAAAAGAAGTTATAATACCAGAATTGGAGTTTTACCGTTTCATATGTGTAACACAGATGTCTTCTTGATTGTAGTATTTTGATGTCATTTCAGCCTTTCTCTATATTTGGTTACACTGATGGTGTTATTTCAGCGTTTCTCTATATTCAGCAACAGGGATATAATACTTTGATGATGTCATTTCAGCGTTTCTCTGTATTTGGTTACACTGATGAGTGTGTAGGAGACAGGGGCACAATGTATGTCACAGCTTTCTTTCCAAAGTCCTCATTCTCATGATAATCAGACCATTCCCAATCTTCAAGGATCTCGCGTAAGTTTACAAAGCATGAAGAAAATTACTCTTGATTATTAAAAAAGCCTTTTCTCTTAATCACACAATAACAAAGGAAACTACTTTTTTTTAAAACAAACTAAAGTTAGATGATTGAAATAATATTTCAATGCATATCTGTTGGAAAACAAATAAGAAGAGTCGTTTTAAATCTTTTTTACTTAGACTTTTGAGAAAATTATGGAGACTTCGTCCAAATTGGTGCTGCAGAATCAATGCATGCCCATGTGACTGCTGTAATAAAATGAATCGGGTCAACACTTAAGGAGGCCAAGGATATATTTGAAGCCAATAAAAAACTATTGTCCAATTTCTTGGAGAGGGAGGACGATGAAACCCACTCTTGGTGACTTTACTCTCAATGAGTACACAGAGAAAGTCATACAATATGGATTTTTAATGGTAATTAAGGTTTGACACTGTGAATATAATAATGTAGATATTTTCATTTTTTACACCTTAATTTTGTGAGATTGTTTGTTGGTGTATGTATTTATTAATGAGGCAAAATTTTCACAAAATTTGGTCATTTGCTCTTCAAAATTCCTAGTTTAAATATTCATGAGATGGACTTTTTAGCCAATGACAGACATGCAGTCTTACATAATTACCAAAAATATAATGTTTTATTAAAGTGTCATTTGGTATGAAAATTAATTTGCCTCTGTAAACTTTATTGAACTACTGTAAACCTGTAGTATCCTTAACTTAATTTTGCCGCCTTCTTTAACTTGTGAATATTTCTCACAATTAAGCTATAAATTTAGTTGTAAATTTATTTGAATTTTTTTCTCATGCAGATGTGGAAATTATTTATAATCATTGCAAATGGATTTCAACCTGAAGAGTTGCAAATACGTTGTTTTGAATAGAATTGGTTTATAGCGAGTTATAGTTGATTAACTAAGCTTTATGGTAAATCAAGCAGATTACCCAGGTTAAATAACTGTAAAATCTTTGCCATTTTTATTTCAGCTGTTTGCAGCCTCCTTTCCTTTAGCTCCTCTGATGGCCATTCTGCTGAATCTGATAGATATAAGGATCGATGCCAGGAGAATGTTGTGGAGTAATAGACGTCCTATAGCCTACATTAGGCAGGACATAGGTACGCACCAGAATTACCATGTGTCTTCAGCTAATACTTATATGAATTTTAAGTCACAGTCAGGGTTTGACATTAAGGCACGTCCGACCGACTGAGTCTAGTAAAAGATGGGTCCGGTCGGGTGAAATGCCTATGTACTAGACCGACTGGTCGTGTAAGAAAAATAAAGGAACTTATATATTTTTAGCTCACCTGAGCTGAAAGCTCAAGTGAGCTTTTCTGATCACCCGGTGTCCGTCGTCCGTCCGTCCGTCCGTCCGTCCGTCCGTCCGTCCGTCCGTCTGTAAACTTTTCACATTTTCAACTTCTTCTCAAGAACCACTGGGCCAATTTTAACCAAACTTGGTACAAATCATCCTTGGGTGAAGGGGAATTTAAATTGTTAAAATCAAGGGCCAAGACCCCTTCCAAGGGGAGATAATCAAGAAAATACGAAAATAGGGTGGGGTCATTAAAAAATCTTCTTCTCAAGAACCACTGGGCCAGAAAAGCTGAAATTTATGTGGAAGCATCCTGGGGTAGTGTAGATATTAAATTGTTAAAATCATGACCCCCGGGGGTAGGGCGGGGCCACAATAGGGAATCCAAGTTTTACATAGAAATATATAGAACAAATCTTTAAAAATCTTCTTCTCAAGAACCACCGGGCCAGGAAAGCTGAAACTTATGTGGAAGCATCCTTGGGTAGTGTAGATATTAAATTGTTAAAATCATGACCCCTGGGGGTAGGGCGGGACCACAATAAGGAATCCAAGTTTTACATAGAAATTTATTGAACAAATCTTTAAAAATCTTCTTCTCAAGAACTACTGGGCCAGGAAAGCTGAAACTTTTATGGAAGCATCCTTGGGTAGTGTACATATTAAATTGTTAATATCATGACCCCCGGGGGTAGGGCATGGCTACAATAGGGAATCCAAGTTTTACATAGAAATATATAGAACAAATCTTTAAAAATCTTCTTCTCAAGAACTACAGGGCCAGGAAAGCTGAAACTTATGTGGAAGCATCCTTGGGTAGTGTAGATATTAAATTGTTAAAATCATGACCCCCGGGGGTAGGGCGGGGCCACAATAGGGAATCCAAGTTTTACATAGAAATATATAGAACAAATCTTTAAAAATCTTCTTCTCAAGAACCACTGGGCCAGGAAAACTGAAACTTATGTGGAAGCATGCTTGGGTAGTGTAGATATTAAATTATTAAAATCATGACCCCCTGAGGTTAGGGCGGGGCCACAATAGGGAATCCAAGTTTTACATAGAAATATATAGAACAATACTTTAAAAATCTTCTTCTCAAGAACCACCGGTCCAGGAAAGCTGAAACTATTGTTGAAGCATCCTTGGATAGTGTAGATATTAAATTGTAAAAATCATGACCCCCGGGGGTAGGGCGGGGCCACAATAGGGAATCCAAGTTTTACATAGAAATATATAGAACAAATCTTTAAAAATCTTCTTCTCAAGAACCACTGGGCCAGGAAAACTGAAACTTATGTGGAAGCATGCTTGGGTAGTGTAGATATTAAATTATTAAAATCGTGACCCCCAAGGTTAGGGCGGGGCCACAATAGGGAATCCAAGTTTTACATAGAAATATATAGAACAAATCTTTGAAAATCTTCTTCTCAAGAACCACTTGGCCAGAAAAGCTGAAACTTATGTGGGAGCATCCTTGGGTAGTGTAGATATTAAATTGTTAAAATCATGACCCCCGGGGGTAGGGCGGGACCACAATAGGGAATCCAAGTTTTACATAGAAATTTATTGAACAAATCTTTAAAAATCTTCTTTTCAAGAACCACTAGGCCAGCAAAGCTGAAACTTATGTGGAAGCATCCTGGAGTAGTATAGATATTAAATTGTTAAAATCATGACCCTCGGGTGTAGGGCGGGGCCACAATGTGGAATCCAAGTTTTACATAGAAATATATATAGAACAAATCTTTTAAAAAGATCTGCATCACCCAAGTTACTCAGGTGAGCGATGTGGCCCATGGGCCTCTTGTTAATAATAAATAAATCATTTATTGTCGATGAAAAAATAAAATTAAAACGTTTCTAACTGCATAGTAGGAAGAAAACTACATTATACATATATTACATGGCTTCGAGGGCAGCATACCAGAATATTGCCCCAAGGTGACAGGAAAGCCCTGGAGTGTTATTTCAACCGATGGCGAAGGGAGAGGGGGTCATAACACACCAGGGCTTTACTGTCACCGAGGGGCAAATTCTGGTATTGCTGCCCGAGAATTAAGCCATGTAATATATGGTATATAACATTTTTAAGCATTGAACCCAAATCGATCATCGAACATATTTATTGAACACTATGCACACATATGTACGTTGAGAATAATTCCGAAATACCCCGTCCTGTTTCATGGCAGAATGTTTTCAGTATGCTGACACTTGTGTTGATAACCTTTGTTGTATTTAAAGAATTTTTCTCCCCAATTAAATTATCCCATTCCTCTAAATTCAAATAAACAAATCGCAGACGTTGTCTCGACTTTTTAACTTTCGCGGAACTGTTTACATTTGCTTGGCAACTGCCTCTGTGAATTTCGAACCCGACGTAATTAATATGCAGAATGATTGCACGCGAGGGAACATAACTGTGTTCGGGAGGGCAACATAACTGTTTCCGGGGAACATAACTGTATCCGGCGTGATTCGGCAGTTTTTCAGGGCATATGGATAAAAATATTATATTTGTGATATAATGGGAAAACTTCTTCAAAAATGTTATATACATGTATGTTACAGACAGCATGACTGAAGTGTTATTTTAACAATTGTTCATTGTCGGCATTCGTAACTACTCGGCCATTTTCCTAGAGAGAAACAATAAGCTACATGTATTTATCTTTCACAGAAATGGTTGAGTAATTACGATTGTCATTGTCGAAAAATTTACGCTTAGGACATCGGTAAACTGTGTATGGGCAATAAACTATAATAAAATTATTTTTACTATGCTTAAATTCTCTGAACATTTTAATGGTATCAATATTATTATTGTATACAAGTTGATTAAATTAGGACTAAACACGACAGGCCACATGAATATGACCTAGTTTCAATGTGACATGTATGCGGGAAAATGTCGCTATTTAAATATGGATTCTCATTATCTGCACAAAAAAAAAAGAATTATCACTATTTTGTACTTTAAAATATTTTTTTCTCCAGTTTGGTCAGGGCTAGTGGTTAAAGGGTCAGGGCTAGTAGAAATTCACCAGAGTAGCCCGACTGGTCTAGTATTCCAAAAGCTTAATGTCAAACCCTGCACAGTGTGCAGGACATACGTATGGCTGGGTCAGAATTACTATGTGTATACACATAATACTTAGTAATGAATGAAAGTAATTGTGCTGTTTTAATTTTTCACTTCACTTATCAACTTTACATAAAGTTTTTAATGTATTGCTTTTAACTCTGGAATATTAACATTACCTGGAATATCCTATAGGTAAATGGTATGGGATTCTTAACTTGGTGAACACAATAGGAGTGATAACCAATGGATTCCTGATTGGGTTTACATCCTACTGGGCCTCTGACTTTGACACAGCCACCAAACTCTGGATTGTGTTAGGTTTTGAGGTAATTTCTTGCCATACCAACAAATTGAATTTGAGGTCAATGTGATTATTCTGTGTTCAGGTTAAATAAGTTTTGCCTGTAAGCATGCAGCAATCTTGCAAACACACTGTGTTCTGTAAACCAACTATTATTCGTGTCATCTCTTGTTCACAATTCATCAGTTTTCAAGCATTCCAAGATGATTAATTTTCGCGATGAAAGAAATATTCTATACCAATACATAGCAAAATAAATGGTTTGCGGCGATTAATGTCTGGGAGTTTAAGTAAGTAGCAAAGGGAATATTTCTCGCCGGGGAATAATACACTGTAGTTGGTTTACAGTATTAGATGTTTTGATTGTGGACAGATACATTATGTCAACTAGATAACAAAAAATAATATATGCATACTTGTAGATATATACTATGTATTACTTATAAGGGTCAAAATTTTGTTAATCAGTATTTATAGCAAAGGAATTAGCATGTAATTTACAAGAACTTAATTTCTGAACTCAATAGGATGAATAAATTAAAAAAAATTTTACTATTATATTTAATTATGGTCTTCCGTCTCCAACGGAAGACCCTTCTATTATTCTATTGTTTCTTTTTCACTTTTATTATTAAGGTCTTCCGTCTTCAGCGGAAGACCTTATTGTTTTTCTTAGGTTTCTTTTCCACTATTTTTATTATTATTGGTTTTTTTTCTTACCGATTTTGTACGCGCAATTTCTCGAGAACGGCTCAATCGATTTTCATGAAACTTTCAGGTCTGATAGAACATCAAAAAATCTAGATATGTATTTTTTTATTTTGATGACGTCACTTCCGGTTCGGAGTTTTCTGCGATTTAGTGATTTTTAGAGGGTCACTTTGTCCGGCAGTTTTCTCAAAAAGCACTTAACACAGAAGCTTGAAATTTTCAGTGATGCTTAAAGCAACTTTTGGAGAAGTGCACTAAGTATATCACAACTACCGGAAGTACGAAGCGCCGACGCTCGCTATGGCCCGAAAATAGTCCTATTAAGAATTTCAAAATTTTAAGCACCTTTTCAACGATAACTTTTAACCTAGAAATATTTTGTTAAAGCATATAGAACAAAAATGGTGTAGAATTTCACGATCTTTCAAATGATACCTCGAAAAAAGGGCTGGACCCTTAAAACAGGGGCCGAGAGGGGCCAATGTTTTTTCCCTTTTTATCTCAAAAAGTATTTAGAATTTG